ACAGTATAACTGTATATCTCCCATTGTTTGGACAAACTAGCCAATTCATGATAAAGAGTTTATTAGTGATAGATCAATATATCAGCAAGTTTTATTATTTAACCATTATTCGGCAATAATATATATTTGGCAATTTTGATCTTATCAGCATCAATACTGACTTTATTAGTGATTAAATGAAGGGTTTGTATCAGTACCAAACTCTACCGATATTCAATAGGTAATAAACTGATTTCTTTCTTAGTAAAATGTCAGTAAATATTAGGGTTGGGTACCGAACTCGGTACTTTTAAGGGTACCGACCGAATTGCGTCGGTACTATAGAGTACTGGCCCCGAGTGGGTTCGTGATCTTGCTTTTATGGTGGACGTAACCGAGCACTTAAATGTGCTCAATACTAAGATGCAAGGCCGCAACAAAGTCGTAGCCTAACTGAATATTACGACTGCATTTGCGCATTTGAGATGAAACTAGATCTGTGGGCGAGCTACAGAGAGAGAAAGAGAGACCCTGTGACGTGAGGTCACCCCTGCAACTCGTTCAAACAACACACAGGGCAAGCCGAAATGTTCTGAAGTGTGGGTACATTTCTAGGACCATATGGTTTCTGCGAAAACGCGGACGGGATCGCTGAGTCCATTCATAAAAACGTAATTTACTCTATAGCGTGGAATGCCACGGAATTCGTCAATTTTGGACGAATAAATCAAAAGTAGCCACTGCCACTTAATTCGAATCGCGATATGAACTAGTGTCTGTGAATATTAAAATGCAAAAAGACAGTTTAAATATGAATCCTGCATGTTCCGCTTGCCTCTGTATGTATGAATGGCGGAAACGCGGTTTTGTTTACTACACAAATACTGAAGCACGAGTGACGCTCGCGGTGATTTTCGGCCTCTGCGTCTCACTATATGACGGCATGAACACAAAAACTTCATCTCCAGAGCTGCTGTGAGAGTCACTTCGCGAGAATTTTACCGTTTCATTTGAGAAAACTAGCATCATCATACTGTATACACACAGAAACTTCATGGCAACCTGTCAAAATAAAAGTACGGTTTAACATGTAAAAGAAATATATTACTCTTGTATTACTTTTGTAAAGTATAATGAAATCTAATCAAATAAAATAAAAATCTTCAAATATTCAATTTTCTATCAAATTTAAATAAAACAATTACATGATAAAAATAAATATTACAACCAGATTAATCACTTAAATGTAGAAAAAAATTATACAATTATTAGCCTATTAAAAAAATGTTTTAAAGGAATATTCACACAATTTTTCTTCCATGTATTAATTTCAACAGTATATTCAACAGAAACATATGTTGACTCAGTTTGTTTGCCAAAAAATAAAAGGGTTTAATTTTCATTTGATTTAAAATAAATGTTTAATGCCTTCACTTGATTTCAGAAAAATTAAAACAAGAATTTCTGGGGAAAAGAAAGAAAGAAAGAAAGAAAAAGTTTGTAGGGCCCTATTGTTCAAAATATTGAAATTGAGACTTTTGGACTATTTTTTTCACTGAAATAAATGTTTTTGTAATTACACAGAGTAAAGTACCGAAAAAAAGGTACTGTTATTTACCGGCACCGAAATTCAGGTACCGGTACCGTACCGGTTAAAATGTGAACGGTACCCAACCCTAGTAAATATGCCACAAATAAGTATAATAAAATAATCTAATTCAGCTATTTTTTAATCATTACTTTATCATTACCAAAAAATACACACTTCATATTTGAATATATTTCAGACAATGAATCATCTTTATCGTGTGAGACAACAACAAAACGTATTTTCTTACCTTTATCCATTCAAATAAACTACCGTTTAAAAGTGGTCAACAAGATTTTTTTTTATTAATACTTTTATTCAGCAAGGATAAATGCAGAATATTAGAATGATTTCTGAAAGATCATGTGACATTGAAGACTGGAGCAATGGCTGCTGAAAATTCAGCTTGCCATCACAGGAAAAAAATTATAATCTTATATAATATTAATAAATAATATATAAAAATTTTAAATTGTAATAATATTTCAGAATATTGGTTTATTGGTTATTGATCAAAAAATGCAGCCTTGGTGAGCATAAGAGATTTTTTCAGAAAAATCTTACCGACCCCGGGTGTTCCATAGCTGTGATGCATTACTATTAGTGCTGTCAAATCGATTAATCGCAATTAATTGATTCCAAAATAAAAGTGTGTGTTTACATAATATAAAGAGTGTACATATAGAGTGTGTACTGTGTATATTTATAAATACACACACATACATTTATTTAAGAAATATTTACATGTATACATGTAAATATAAATATATATTATACTAAAATATAAATATATATTAAATATATTTCTTAAACATATACATGAATGTGTGTGTATTTATATATACATATAAATATACATATTACACACTCATATATTATGTAAACACAAACTTTTTTTTGGGATGCGATTAATCACGATTAATCGATTTGACAGCACTAACTTCTATCTCTACCATCCTAGCCTTCAATACACACACGTCATGCACAAAGTGAGTTGGACAGCTTTCTTTAGGAACAGCACATCAGAACAACTTCACCTGCTGAGCTATTATCCAGTATGACTTATACAGCTAAACTCCAAATGGACAGATAAGAAAACATATCTGTGGTTTCAAAAGCAATGCTTGAGATGAAACCTAATCAGATTGTGACTGAGATGGGCTGTAGAATTTGACATCACATTTGACAACAGTTGTGATTTTATCAACAGCATAGTCTTTTTTTCACAAACTTATAGTAAGTGAAATATCCTTCCTGGTAAAGTATGGCTTAATACATGGAAAAGAACATATTTCCTTAAGGCTATTATTGTCCAATACAATTCTGAACAGCAATTTGAACTCAATTTGGCTCTCTTATGTTAAAATTAAACAAGACAGTGGCCACGTTCACACAGCAGCAGAATACGGTTGTCAGTCCTGTATTTGAGTCCTTAATACGGTTACGTTCACACACAGTTTGGTTATTTACGGGTGTGACAACCGCATTCTGTAACCAAACTCACACCTGTAAATTTTCAGGACTCACAACCGCATTCTCGGAACACACGCGCTGTGTGAACGGAACCAGACTGGACAACTAGTTGTCTGTCACGTCATACAGTGCGAGAGAGAGCCGCTCTGTGCACAAACGCACGTTTACCGTGTGTTACGTGTTTTCAGTAGCTTACAGTGATGGAGAAATGAGCGGCGTGTCATCTGAACGTTTTAGATCCGTTTTAGTTTTCCACCGTAGCCACTCCCGTCAGTTTTGTGTTCTGCTCGCGATTCAAATGGTCCGCTCTCCACCAAAATTTAAAAGCTGCTGTTGGTTAATAAAGACCAATTTGACAAAAGAACTCGCGGCTCGATTGGACTCTTGTCGTGTCAGAAAGTGATACGACTTTCAGTTTTATACACGTCGCTATGGTTACTAGTAAGGAATACGGGCTTGACTCCCGTTGCACGTTCATACAGAAAGTATTCTAAACACAACTGTAAGCTGCTGTGTGAACGTGACATTTCGAGACTCACACCTGTAAAGAAAACGCGGTTGTTAATCCCAAAAATTGACAGTGTGAACGTAGCCACTATCAAGACAAAAACTGACTATTGCATCCATCAATGAACATGATGCATCATTCAATCAATCAGGCTTCATCAAGAGGGGGGGAATCTAGCACCGCAAACAATTCCATCTACACATCGCGTGTGAGGTGAAAATCCGGGCACAGGATCAAAGCCAAGCATTTCAGGCTGTGAATACCTTTAAGAGAAATTTCAAAGTGATCCAAAGTGATCTACTTTCAAAGGGATTCACAGTTATTTTTAAGGATGTGAGAGAAATAAGACCAGAGGCAAGAGGACACAGAGCATTGGCTCAGTCTTCTACTTCCACTTTGCTCCCAAATTGCATGGAAATATTCATTTAGAGATAAAAATTACAGTATCTTCAGCCTCATCTGCAAAACACACTGCACAAATCTTATTTTAACAAATACATATTTAGAGAGTTTAACGGTTTAATCACTAAGGTAACTAGGATGCGGTTACAGTTGTCATCAAACAGATGTGAAGGTTATGATGAGGCAGTTACAGTGGAATTGAATGGGGACCATTTTTGGAGGATTTAACAGCAGAAATATGAAATTAATAATTTTATAAAAGCACTTACATTAATTCTTCTGTTAAAACTTGCGTATTATTTGAGCTGTAAAGCAGTTTAAATAATACATTTTCAGTCGTTTTATCAGGGTTTCTGCAGGTCAGGTAAATTTAAGACTTAAGACCTTTTTAAAACCAAGCAAAGAAAATTTAAGGAATAAATGAAAGGTAACAATACATCAATATGTTCTATGTAAATGGCTAGGGAGCAGACATTGAGCTGTATTTACAACACTTTAAAGTTTAAAAATACAACTTAAAACAGTTCTTTTCATTACTTTTTAGTTCATCTTTTCCCAAAAATTGCTTTAAAGTTTAAATAGCTCTGCTCACAATCCATAGAGTAAGGAGGATCAAAGATCAAAATGGCCTTAACTCAAAAGGAAAAAATGTGTGTATACTCCACTGACAGATATTTGTTCTTGTTTTAAACAAACTCACTTAATTTTGTTCAAATTCTCAGAAAACAAGACTTCATAAGTTTATTTTGCATCTTCATTTAACAATGTTTACATTTTTGTACTGGAAAACAAGACAGAAATTATGAGGAAGATATACATTTTTTGCAGTGCATGCAACATTTAATGCCATGACTTTATGAATATAAGACTTTCTGCTCTGATTTAGGATCTTTTAAGGCTTTAATTTGTGGGAGGGCAAAAACATATCATAAATACTGTGAATCTCATATTGTTTCCCTGACCTTGATGAAAAAGGAACAAGCTGGCAGTCATATGTTGACTGAATTTATCCTGCAGACCCAATTTTCCCAGATGTGACAGACTGCTTACCTTCACATATGAAGGCTGTTTCTCCAAAATGAGGTCTGCCACTCTTTTAGATACCTGTAAGATGAGAACACAAGCTAAAGGTTAACATCTGTTCAACCTGTCCAAGCTTTACAAGACTACATAATCTCTTTGTGCATTTAACACCTCTTTTTAATCATTTGCGGCATTAGCTGAGGCTTTAAAAGTAGTAAAAAAACAACAACAACATAACATTTGAGACCTTTAATTGAATTGAAGTCTATTTTAGGCTTTTCATGTCTTCCACACCTGCAACAATGACTCTGTAACAATATAATAAATGTTTTCTTGGGGCACTCAAACATTCAGCGGGTAATAATGGCTCCACGGAAGGTCAAGCCATAAATATAAGGCATACTGTGGCACGCTTCGATCGATATGTGCGTCACATGGTGGGGCTGTCAGGAACGAGAGGGAGGGACGGCTGTGAAGTGTTGGAGTGTCGGTGAGATCTGAACAGATGGCAGACTCAGCTGAGCAGCAGCGTATGTTAGCAGATCTCAATGTGCAAAAGCTGAGACCGACTGGCAGGAGAGATCTGGGTAGTGTGTGTGTGTGATAAAGACAACTGAAAGAAACATTTTCAAGAGCACCTCAACTTGCTCTTACATATGCATCAGCTCTTGGCTCTTAAAGGAATAGTTCCCCAAAAATGACAATTCTGTCATCATTTACTCACCCTCATGTTCTAAACCTGCATGATATTCATAAAAGAAAATATTCTGAAGGAGGAGCCTGAACGATGAACATAAATGAGGTCCAAAACTGACTTTTATTGCAAAAAAAAAAAAACATTTTTGAAAATATCTTTTGTGTTTCCACAGAAGAAAGAATCAGATCAGGGTTATTATTGTTCACTAAAATACACAAACCATTAAAAAATTGTTACTTGAAATAAAGTAAATGTTAACTAAAATAAAATCTATAATAAAAGGAGTCCTATAATGCTTTTTCACTTTAGTTCAACCCATAACACTTTAGTTTAGTTAGTGTGTAATGTTGCTTTTCAAGCATAAAACATCTGAAAGCTTACAAAGTTCAAAGTTTACTCAAAAAAGGAGATATTCTCTTTAACAGAAAACACTGTTCATGACCTATGACAAACGGCTTGTTCGGGCTATACAGTGCACTTCTTCCAGATATTGTGAAGTCACAATGTCACTCATTTCAATAATTACCACCCAAGGAATACGCAAAAAAAGGGGACGAGGCCTGGATGAGCTGCGCTATAGAGACCATACACTATTAAAAACACACACACACACACACACACACTCTGAAACATCCTGTAAAATCTGTGCTTGCAAAAAGGTTCTGCACAATCCTCTTGTTTGTGAACATTCTCAGAGTCTGAATCGGGCTCAAATTGGTATGGCAAAATTGTAGCCATAGTTAATATTTACAGCTGAGCAGATGAAACTAACGGTGATGATAAGGGGCGTGTCATTTCCGGAACATGTTCTATATGGGGCCAGCTAACCAATCAGGGCACATTTCGTATTTCGTAAGGAGGGGTTTCATCAAAACAGGAGCTAAAACAGGTCTTTGAGAGACTGGGAAGAGAGGTGCTGCAATAATAAAAAATATTTGAAAAATAATGCATTTTTGGAACAATCAAGAATGAGAATTCTAGTACACTTCAAAAACTAAATCAAGACTTCGTAAAAAGACAAATATATATTAAAAACTAATATACCAAATTACCAAATATACAAATAAATGACTAAAACTTTTACTAAAATTAAAATGAAAGTAGAAAATATAAAGAGAAAATCGAACTCAAACTGTTAATAAAAAAAATATAATAGTATCAATTATACTAAAATAACACTGATACATGTTTAAGAGTGTGAGTAAATGACAGAATTGTCATTCTTAGGTGAACGATCCATTTAAGCCCCATTTTTCTAACCCATTATTAAAATCACAAGCTGTAAAAATCGAAAGATACAATGTTATTAACACCAAGCAAACCTGCAATTTACCTATGGAATGAGTAAAGGCATTTTGACATTCTGCTAAGATGACCAAAGAAGACCTCATGATTTTCACATCCGCGATTTTCACAAAGCTCACTGCTCCACCTATTGGTCATTCATTTTTGTAAAAGAACCCACAGGACGGATCGATGCCAGAATGAGAAAACAAGCTGTGAGGAGCCTTCCGGTGTGCTATTTCCAAAAACTAAAAGACAGAGACTTTAAAAACAGGTGGCCAACACACTCTGTCTGACTTCGATAGGCCGAACAAGATGGCAACCAGGCAAAGCTGTCTGTCAGCGAGGCACAAGACTCTCTGTATGCCTTCTCGCAGCCAACTGTGAGTGATTCCTGCATGGGTAATAACTCTAATTAGAAATCTATTAACCAGTGCTTGCACCAGAGCAGTAAACAGCCTGTAATTTTCTCTACCGCTGGTTCTACAAATCCATATTACAGCAGGCAAGACCTGCGTTCAAATTCAGACTAACTTACAATTCCACCTTATTTTTCAATTACGACAATTTTTCTTAAGGACACAAACAAATATTACTTAATTAATCAAATTCATCATTAATATTGTTCATTTTAGCTAATGACTACAAGCAAAGACTTCTCCCTATTCATCTAATCAGCTAAAACAGCATTACATTTAATTAGGACTGGAAAGAAAAACTCCATTAGACAGTACAGTGAATACAAAGGCTAGCAGTAAACAAGACCCTGTTGGGCCCTGGTCAATAGGGTTTCATTCATATTACAAGTGAATCGATTGACATTCATTGCCAGGCAGATACAACAAACAACAAAAAGCTCATTTAAAAGCATGCATTTAAGAATTAATCACTTGAATGCTTATGTTACTTATTGAGTTGTTAAAGGTGAAATGGGGGTAATTTGTGCAATGTTAAAAAACTAATTCCTGTTCATAAGTTGTTCATTGATTAAATTCCAGAAGTGTAAAAGTGTAAAAACTGTCACTTTCAAATATTTCTCACACAACTTCATCCTTGCAGCAACCAGAAGAAAAAAAAAAACATTTACAGCTTGGTTTAGTATGATTTTTTTTTTTATGTTTTTGAAAGAAGTCTCTTTTTCTGCATTTATTTGATCAAAAATAGTCAAAACAGTAATATTGTGAAATATTAAAATTTCTTATTATTAATATTGAAAACAGTTGTGCTGCTTAATATTCTTGTGTGATTTTCAAAATTCTTTGATGAACAGAACATTCAAGAGAACAGCATTTATTTAAAAAGTCTTTTGTAACATTATAATTTTGATCAATTTAATGTATACTTGCTGAATAAAAGTATACATTTCTTAGTACACACACTGCCAACACACATTTCAGTTCAAACAACTTGTAAAAGTGCATGTAGCATCCTATGACCCCTTTAAATTAAAAAGTATTCTGCACACCAAGGCTGCATTTATTTGATCAAAAATAGTCAAAACAGTAATATTGTGAAATATTAAAATTTCTTATTATTAATATTGAAAACAGTTGTGCTGCTTAATATTCTTGTGTGATTTTCAAAATTCTTTGATGAACAGAACATTCAAGAGAACAGCATTTATTTAAAAAGTCTTTTGTAACATTATAATTTTGATCAATTTAATGTATACTTGCTGAATAAAAGTATACATTTCTTAAAAAATTATACTGACCACAAACAATACCTGAACGATATTGTAAATCAATGGATTTTCATATATCCATAATATTTATGAACCATGTTCATATAAAACAGTACTTAAAAGTTAGCCAGCCCAATTCAGCAACAAACCCTTAGTGGGAAATAACTGCTGAGAATGTTGTCAGCACAGAAAACTTCATCCTGCCCTCCAAAAAAAGATAAAGAACGGGCTTATTCTGAAACACACTTGCACCGCAGACAAGCAATTAGCTCAGTGATGAGTTCCTGCCAAAGAAGTGTCAGAGCTGCATGTTTGCAGAAGAATAGGCTGACACCTCCAATAGACCAGATGGATTTCTCTCCCACTGACCCATCGAATCCACAATAACCTTCATCTGCCAATGACACATTCAGAGACTGTGCATATGGGCATTCCAGAGAGAGCCATCTCCAAAATCATTTCAGATGGGCTGAGAGAGAAAACGCATCATTACTGTCAATAAGGCCACGTACTCTTGAATGACACTGGAGGAGCTTGCATAAATCATGAATAAAATACCACACCATGTGAGCGTGCTTAGTGAGAATTAATGGCATTCAGCAGGAAGTTCGCCTCACATAGCTCCTCCTGTGATGCCTGCAGATGTCTGTCATGACCCGGGATCAGCGTTCGGGTACAGGGCCGCTGCGCTGCCAGCAAACGGTCAACCCATGGCAGGTCACAACAGATAGCGTCAGACTGATTCATTGGGTACCCCCAAGGACCGTATCTTTCACCCTAAAGCCGATAAGACAGCTGTGCGTAAGCAAGCATCTTAAGCATGAAACAACAAAGACAGAGAATGACATTCCTCTTTCCATTTTTTTTCTAAGGCTGCAGCCAGCAGAACTGTGAATCACCCCGGATCAAGACGGAATGTACTCACGCGTTCACAAGCACGCTACACCATGCATTGGGAAGTGGTAAAAACACATAACAAATAAAACTGTGACGTTTGCAGCAGGATGAGATAAAAGCTCGGAAATGAGTCAAAATGAGTTAAAAAAAAAAAAAAACTTAAAAAGAAATATGACATTTGAATATTGTTGCACTTTTTTATTTTTATTTAAATTTGCCAAGTGCCTGAAAAATCTCTAAACACTTTCATCTAGCATAACATTTTTAAGAAATGTAAATGTATTTATTTATTTTTCAATTTTTTTCTAAAAGGGTAAGTGCTTGGTCTAACGTGCAAAAAAAAAAAAAAAACATAAATAAATAATAAAATGAGAACTTTGACAGTATAAAATATTTTTGAAAGTTTTTCCAAAGCTCAGTGGGAAAAAAGGCTGTTCAGACATGCACATGGCAAGTTGGCAAGTATGTTCTTAATTTATATTTCATTTCATTATTTTTTCATTGTTTAAATTCCTGTTAGAGGGTTCCATAAAAAAAAGTGTTATGTATTGATTTTAGTCTTATTAATGAGTTTTGAGATAAATAAAATTCGTTTTGAAAGAGTATGTATCATATAAAATAACAATATAAAAAAGTTAAAGATACAGTTGTGCTTCTTCATTAGTAACAATGTCAGAATATATACTAACGATTAGCTTTTATGAGAGGAAACTAAACTGAACTGAATTCAAATCATCGTATCAAGTCACAAAGTCAAGTATTTTATCAATCCATGACCCATAGACAAAACCAGGGGCATAGATTACGCGGGGGACGTGGAGGACGTGAAACTATTCTGCCTTATTATGTGATAAAAAAGTGTTTGTAGTATATAAACAAATCATTATTATTGGTTATTGTCCAGCAGTTATCTGATTTCTAAGCCAATTAAAAGCTAGAAATGAGAGAAAAATTAAAGTTGACTATACACTACCAGTCAAAAGTTTTTGAACCGTAAGATTTTTTATGTTTTTTAAAGAAGTCTCTTCTGTTCACCAAGCCTGCATTTATTTGATCCAAAGTACAGCAAAACAGTAA